TGATTGTAACGATATTTAAATAATAATATTCAACACAAAAATAACGATACACATTTTTTATTTGAATGAAGATCGATAATTTTATTTTTCTTAAATTAAATTTGTGCAAGTCATTATAATTTAAATAAATTATTTTCTCTTGATTAGTCTACTAAAATGTAATAAATAAGATATTTTTATAGAAGATAAATTTATGTTTAAATTGTATTTATTATAAAAATTAAAGTATTGTAAAATTGTAAATATTAGATATGGGAAAAAGTTCGTGGCGTTTTTCCCGTTAGATGGCATTAAAAAAACGCCACGAACTTTTTGCCATACCTAATATTATTAACACAAACAAAAATAGTAATAATAACAGTAATGTAAATGAATTGAATTGGTATACATTATAAGACCAATGCTATTTTCTCGAAAATAATGTAATTTTAATCACATTTTGATTAAATCACATTTTGATTAAAATTTATCTAATTAATATTTAAATTGTTTGATGTATTCTTTTAACTGATGTAAAATTAATAAGTACTTTATATAGTTTATGAGTAAGAAATTATATTAGTTGATATCTCCTATTTTTTATGCACATAAGAACAGGGAAAAAATACTAATTTAATACTTTAATACTAATTTTATACTTTAATTAATTTACTAAAAGTCAAATATTATTATTGCAATAATTTATTTATTATCTTTTAATAAAAATTTAATTAAATTTTTATTGATAAGAAAATTTAAATAACAAGTATACTGTTTGCAATTAACAAATTATTTAAGTCAATTTTAAATGTTAAATTTACTTTCAAAATTATTTGTAGTATTTGTGATAAATAACATGTAAAATTAATTGAATTGTTAATAACAAATGTAATATTTTTTAATCTATTTATTACGTCATATATGCTGAGGCTATACAGAGCATTATGTGTTATATACGCTACGTATGCTATGCTCATTATACTGAATGGCTATATCGAAAGCTATGTTTTTGGTGAACGTTTTTTTATTGATAAATGTTAAGTCAGATTTTAGATAAAAATAAAAAGATTATATTATTATTAGATTATATTGTAGTTTAAAGAAAAAAAAATACAAGCATAAAATAACATAATTCTTGTAAATCACTACACATAACCATATGTTATAAAAGGAATTTTTTGCGTTTATGTATATATACACAGTTCTTATAATAAATAAATTAAAAAATATATTTATCTGATTTATTTATTTGCTGATTTCAATTCTTCAATTGATCTCTGCTAAATATATTTATATTTTCTAACTTTTTTTCAATAAGATTTTCTATACATATGACATTTTACTGATAATTTGCCACATGGCAATTAAGCATACAACATGATAGTAAAATATTTATTCTTGGTCTAGGACATTGCATATGCGTTTTCAAAAAATAATCGAGAACCATATTCTGCGATGTGTCGCAATATAGCAAACAATATAGCGTACACAACTTGGCCAGTAGTTATATTAACTTTAAGAAAGCTATTTTTTTTTAAAACATAGTGTACGTTTTTAAAACGTAATATTGTATTATAACGTAAATAATGTTTAGTGATCTCATCAACATTATATGGTCCATTAAATAAATAAAATATTAACGTTCTATTTATACCATTAATTATTAACATACGTGATATGTTCTTGTATCTAATGTATGTATGTCTCTACAGAAGGAAAGTCAGACGATTGTATTTTTATCTGATAAAAACGAAATACCGAAAATCAATAGTTTTCAATATTTGCTAACGCATATCCTTGTTCGATTATACTTTCGATTATACTTTTAATTAAATTCTTTCTGTAACATTAATAGCAGTCTTTCCGTCACAAGAATGCGAGGTACCCAAGAATTGTATTAAAATTAATAGAT